GGTTCTGACTCATTGAGCACTAAAATTTAGACTAATTTTCTTCCCTTCCTTGTAGAATAAAGACATACTGATGAGTATTCTGCATGGGAACCTCATTCCAGAAGAGGAATGAACTAGTAAGAAAAGATGGATTCAGGCCAGAAAGCATTTTTCAGACATTTGATGAGGCTCATGACAAGTCCTCTGCTGTAAACAGCCATTTTTCAGGTGGAGGCATGACTGTGCTCCATTGGATGGTGTCCGGCCTGTCTGCAGAGACCTAGGTCTAAACACCATAAATATCCCAGTACCACCAGTGGTCTGACCCAGCAGGACCCCCATTAAGCCCATGGATGAGCCTGGGTGGGGAACTGGAGAGCATAGAGGACTGGTGCTGAGATGTGGCTCATGCAGAGCGTGGTGGATGCCCACGAGCCAGTGGATTGCTGCTAAAGGCTTTGCCCAGATGAGCACAGGAGGCAGCACTATTTATTTTGTTTGAATAATATATGACTATTAAGTTAAATAAGAGAAAGCAGAATGAGCTTTCCAGTTAAGCCAAAATGTTTGATGCTTGTTTCCTGGGCGTTTGGGGTCTCTGGGAAGCTTTGAAGTGGCCCTAATGAACCTACCAATGTAGATAATGTAAAATACTTTAATAATTTATTTAAAAGACAGTGCTGTCTATAATACATAATCTGGAATGTATGAAACTGCCCTTTCTAAATGTCTCTTTGATCTCAGCTGAAATGGTTCAAGTTCTGTTGCAAAGGTGGTTTATGAAAGCACTTCAATCTACCTTGCTGTAACTAGATTGTCCTAATTGGGCTATCTTTTATGTTCTTATAGTGCTGTATTTGCATCAAATTATGAAAGAGGAAGAAAGATCTAGACAAGTAGCAACCAAACTTGCCCGAGACCAGCCTCACTAAGTGACAGAGCCATAAACTCCTTTGTAATCTTTATCTGTATCAAGTGATCAAGGCTGGGAAATAAGCCATAAAAGAACTCCCTTTATCTTATCAACCCTCCTATACCCATGATACCTTTATTGTGGTTGTAACAATTCCATTCACCTTTTCCTGTTGGGCACATGTGAAATTCAGACTCCTGTTTTGCAATCTGATTTCCCAGGCTGACCTCTGCCCACCTCAAGCAAGCCCACAACCTTTTCCTGATGCGAGCTGTTTGACACCTTGGTGAGTCCGTGATATCAGAGGCTGACCAGTTTGTGACTGGGATGCATTTCTTTTGCCCCAAAGCAGCGGTTGTGGTGCAGGATGCTGTGGGAGACAGCAATAGGAAATGGGGATTTGTAGCATGGGGCTGAAGATCTGCATAGCTGTCGCTGAGGACTGGGTATGCTACAGCTCAGTTCACTCTGAGCCTGGCTTTTGGTCCTGCTAGTGGTGGGACATCTCCTGGTGAAAGGATTCTTTCAGCTCCACTTTCCCACTGAGGCCTGTGGGAATGCAAGGGCTGCGGCCATAGGCACCACTGGGCTCTCCCATTGACATGGTCCCACTGTTGCAGCCTCGGCACCGCTTCCAAGACAAGAAATATTTTAGGAGACCCACAGGGGGTTGGGGGGTGGGGGGGGATTGATCCCCCCCTGCCAACACAGGGCCAAAACATACTTTTTACAGTCATAGAATCATAGAATGGTTTTGGTTGGAAGGGAACTTAAGATCATCCCGTTCCAACCCCCCGCCATGGGCAGGAATGCCTCACACTAGACCATGTTGCCCAAGGCTCTGTCCAACCTGGCCTTGCACACCACCAGGGATGGAGCATTTACCACTTCCTTGGGCAACCCATTCCAGTGCCTCACCACCCTCACAGGAAAGAATTTCCTCCTTATATCCAATCTAAACTTCTTACCCCTTGTCCTATCACTACAGTCCCTAAAGAAGAGTCCCTCCCCAGCATCCCTATAGGCCCCCTTCAGATACTGGAAGGCTGCTATGAGGTCTCCACGCAGCCTTCTCTTCTCCAGCCTGAACAGCCCCAACTTTCTCAGCCTGTCTTCATACAGGAGGTGCTCCAGCCCCCTGGTCATCCTCATGGCCCTCCTCTGGACTTGTTCCAACAGTTCCATGTCCTTTTTATGTTGAGGACACCAGAACTGCACACAATACTCCAAGTGAGGTCTCACGAGAGCAGAGTAGAGGGGCAGGATCACCTCCTTCGACCTGCTGGTCACACTCCTTTTGATGCAGCCCAGGATACAATGTTACACATATGGCCAAACATCCCCTCCCATCTGTGTGACAGCACCAGCATTCCCTGGACGACAACCAGCCCACTTGTGTTTGTGTTCTGCAGGCGCTGTCCTGCAAACTGTCACCTACAAGTTCTTTTACTCAGGAAAGCCCTGCAGTGAGTTTGGTCACAATCATGCTTCTTCACCGGCTCAGCAAGCTCACATCCTCCCTGAGGCACACCTATACCCATGTGGGAGACACATACAGCAAGTATGTTAAGTCCTGTTTTCTTCCTATTTCCACCCTAGAAAATTACCTAACAACAAGTAATGATAGTGTTTTGGTACCGTATAACAGCAGTGCTGTAATGTGCCAAGGCAAGGAAAGGCCTGAAAATGGTTTGACAGTAAACTGCTTGTATTTTAAGCTCTCAGCTCCGAGTTAAATGGAAGTTTCAAACATGTGGCACAAGTCCTTTTGGATCACGTTTAAAACAAATTCTGTGTGTTTGGAAACAGTGAAACTGGAAACTGCGACAACACATGGTGTGTTTGGGGGAAAAGATAGCAGGGAGAGAAGAAACAAGCCTATCTGGAGATCTTATCTGAGGTTTTCTTGGGAGGACAATTTATCCAGCCAGGACTGGAAGTTGATCATGGTTGGGTGGTTCCCAGCAGCTGCATTTGGAAAGGAAAGGGAGGCAGCAGCAGGCCAGGTAGATATCTGAGTAGTTCCACGTCTGCTCCCTTCAGTTAAATACCAGATGTTAGGAATTTGCTTGTAAACCATCAGTGACAAGAATGAAAATGAAGCGTTTGCTGAGTTCTCTGCCTGGCTCTGTTTCAACACCAAACTGCACACACATCCCTGCTTACCTGCACTTGCCTGTTTGCAAGTGAAATGTGATCCTCATGGCCATTCCCAGCACTTTTTAGTTTTCACTTGTCTGTTCTAGCAGGACAAAAGATGGGAAAAGCTGGATGTACTGCATGCAAGAGGCCACAGTGGTCAGTGGTGCCCTGGTAAGTGATTTAGAAGCTCATTTGTCCAGCTTGCATAAAACTCCATGCTGCTGAGGAACTATGTCCTGATGAACTGGATATATTTATGTATGTATTCCATATTTAAATATGAAAATTATGCTTATTGCATAACAGAGGCTTTTGTTCAGTTCATATGATACTATTCTTCCTCAAAGTCTTCGCTATCACAAACGATAACAGGGTGCAGTGACCTGCCTGTGTTTTGGCCAGACACCTGGGAAGCATTTTTATTACGCAAGGTTTCCTTATCTGCTCCAGCAATAAAACTAATGGAGCCAGGTGCCTTTGCCTTCCGTAATGCTGCTTCTCTCCCTGTCTGCCCAGGAGGCAAGCTTGGGATAGTGGCGCATCTCTTTCAGGGAACACTAACCCAAGTCTCTGGCACCTGGGATTAGCAGCGAGAGACCAGGTATGGATTTTGTTTCTAATGAACATTTGCAGTATAGTAGAAATCTAATTTTATATATATATTTATAAACATATATTTATAAACATATATTTTTATAAATATAAATCATAGATATTACATAAATATATATATATATATATGGGCCACATGTTATAAGCCCCAACTTGCACCCAAAGTCACTGCCTTTGTGATCAAGACACACTCACCTGCCGAAAAATCCCTTGGGCCTGAATGTGTGGAAATAATTTGGTGTCCTGTGCTATGCAATGTATTAAATGAATCACAGTACAAGAAACAGATGTTTATTCCAGTGGGTGCAGGAGTCCAGACACAAAGTATTGGGTTTCTGTCTGTCTCAGATAACGGGACAGAGTGGAAAAGTTAGGATTAAACATTCTACACGTGTAAAGCTTAAAAATGCAGCCTGAGTCCTGTAACTGGCCTTACCCTGGCACAACCCTGTGTGCTGGCACATGCCCTGCACATTACAGCAAACTCTGAGGCTGTTTGGATGCTTTAGTTTGGTGCCTGGCCACACTTTTTAACTTCAATGCCCAAGGGACAGGGACCCATAGCTCACATCCATGAGATGTCTGGGACCATCCAAGACCACATCTGTGATATTTCAGGTCTTTAGACACTATCCTCCTGAAATCTAACTGCACAACTGAGTCCTAGGCTTTTCAAATGAGGTGTTTTCCTTAAAGCAAAGGCTCCTTTTGTTCAATCAGTTATTTTTACCTGTGAAACCAAAATGTGATTAGCAGTCAGAAAAGATGGTATTTTTTGCCAAATGAAACATGGAATGCAAGGAGCTCCAGAGAAGTTTGGGGGCTGGGGTGTCCCTGTCAAGTTAGCTGCTCAGTTCTTAGCAACTCAGTATGGAGAATGCTTATTCAGAACTCTGCAAGAGCAAGCAAGAGCCTGAAAAAGCAAATGAAGCAATGAAAAGGGTCCCTGTAGAAAGACAGTGCATATCCAGGGATGCTTCTTGCTTGCAACCTTTTCTGTCATGCACTGATTCTGTTATCATCAGCAGGATATCATTGCTCATGTGGGTCCTGTTTGGGTCATTTCTAAGAGACCTGTGGGTCCAGGTGGCGCTCTGTGCTTGGGGTCCCCAAGGGGCCACAGCCTCTGGTCCCACAGGGTGGCAGGAAAGCAGTGTGATACCAGCCCTCCAGCCCTCCTACCACCCACAACCACTGTCCTTCCCTGACAGCAGTTGTGGGGAATGAAAAGCACCATTTTTATAGTTTAAAATCAGTCAAAACAGAGTTTTGCTCAGACAGAGCTCTGCCTCCTCCCACATTTCACTGAGAGCTGTATCACCACCAGTGCTTCCTGGCTGTGGGAGCTGGGCTTCATTCCTAAAGAAGGAAAGATCTGCTGCTTCTCTTCTGTTCCTGTTTGCATCCCTCACAGTGCTTGAAATGTGCTGTATCCTGAGTTATTCTTAAACAAGCCTTCCCATTGTTCGAGTCATGGGTTATGAATTCCATCCCTTTGAAGAAATATGACCCGTGCAATGGAAAAGTGAGAATGATGTGAAGTCTGCACGAGATACTCATGGCGGTGACATACAGGAAAAGGATGAGTGCTTTGCACTGTCCTCATGAATGAAGCCACAGGAAGGAGGTGTGACAGGGCAGCGGGTGAGCTGCTGGGAAATTTCCATGGTTCCTAAAGCCCCACTGGCTCAATTTACATCCTCACCTTGCATTTCCATTGACTGAAAGTGTTCCTCATAAAGGGCTCCTCTGGCACGGAAAGACGTGTCTCTGCTAAGAGGTGGTGGCTTTTCTTGACACCTAACATGAGTGATTCAGACCTAATTTGTGACATTTGTGTTGTGATAGCCTGTGCTGAGCAGGGCACATATACATGAGTACACGTCTCTACCTGGGATGGGGTAATCCTGGTGCTGATCTCCTCTCTTTGGTGACCAGCAACAGGACACGAGGAGATGGAATGAAGCTGTGTCAGGGAAAGTTCAGATTGATCATTAGGAAAAGATTCATTACTGGAAGGGTGGTCAATGACTGGAACAGGCTCCCCACAGCACCAAGCATGCCAGAGTTCAAGGAGCATCTGGAGGATGCTCTTAATCATCTGATTTAGTGTTATGTAGTCCTGCGAGGAGCAAGGAGTTGGACTCAATGATCCTTATGGGTCCCTTCCAACTCAAGATCTTCTATGATTCTATGACAGTCATCAGTCCTTTGCACATCTCCCCACATTAGCACTGCTCCTTTATTCTCATCAGTAAGGCCTGCTGGGTACTTGCAAGAGTGGGAGAAAACATTCGTGCTGCTAGAGACCAACAGTGCCTCTCTGATGGCTGCAGTCTCCTCCTAAGGACACAGTTACCATCCATGCAGGATGTATTTGCCACAGCCAAAGGCCTGGTGGAGGCAGGCACTGAGCATCACTGAATGCAGCCTGCAGCCTGGACTGTTTGGGGTTTGCTGCTGGGGCTCTGTGCCCCGCATTGTCCCTGTGGGCACTTGGCTTTTTGTTCACTCAACACCAGTAGCACCTGCACTTGCTGCCACTGGTTGCAATACCTATTGCCGAGCCTCAGTGACTCGCTCCTGGAGGCTGCTATCATGCAAAAAGGAAGAAGAAAGCAAAACAAGCACAGCCAGGATCCACATAATACTGCCGCAGCTCTGCCAGGAAACGGACTGTAAAAGTTCCTGTATTTAAAGCCAGGAGATGAGTTTTATTGTTAGTGGTTGTTATAGCAACCCGAGGTGCCTGAGAGTAATACATTCTCAGCGCATTGCAACAGACTCTGACAAGTTCAAGGCTGTTGCCTTGCTGCTAAATCTTGTTGCCAAGGCAATGAAACATAAGGCAAGAGCCTAGAGAAATGAATACTGCTGACAGCTCGTGCCAACAGGCTAGGGCTGATTAAAAGGGAACTTTTGAAACTGATGTTAACTTAAACAGCGCAGCAGCAGCAGAAGGGAAATGGGAGCACAGAGATGGAGGAGAGGATCCAGAGGAGGAGCAGTGGGTTAATGTCAAGCAACAGGTAAAGGAAAGCATTTGATTAAAAAGCAATGTATGTGAATAGGATGTCTTAGCCTGTAATGCAAGAAATGCACCACATTCATGGAGGGAGGAAAAAAACACACAAAATTGTAATTTTTTACATTTGTTTCACTTGGGCAGTGCTGCTGTAACTTGAAGGGGAACTTTGGCCTTTTCCCAATGATGTTGACAGCAAAAATCAGGCTTTTTTCAGTCAATTTGTTGAGTGACGCAGGTATTATTGCTGCAATAGTAAAAAGCCAGGAAATAGCTCAGTTGACTTTCAATTTATGTTCATTTCCAGCCTTTTTAGACATGCTTCATAGCAAAACATTAGCTGGAAAAGAGATGAGGCTGCAAGCTGATTATTTGCTCCTGACTATGATTCACTGTTAATGCTGACAGTATGCTCTGAGTTGAAGGAAGAGTACTACCTGAAGGAGCACAAAGTCAAAATAGATCATCAATGCCAAAGCAGTCGGGTAATTAAGCTAATTTCAACTACCAATATAATATTTTGACATGTGCTATGGGATACTAGGATACTAAAATACAATACTACTGAAGTGCCTCAAATAGATACACAGTGATCTCAGATGAACTTGTTGACTTGTCTATTGATTTGTGAATAAAAGCATAATATTTCTTAAACAATTACCACAGTAGTATTCTGATCCACTCTTACTTACGTCTCATGCATTTTACATTCTCATGGACTGTCAATAGCTAAAAACGATCTCATGTTTTCCTATTCAAGGACTGTTTCATCATGTGCATCTTGCAGTACAGCAGCATACAGCAGTATACCTGGGACCACCAAATGCCCTATGGGGGAGTTTGTTCCCCTGGCACCTGGGAAAGTCAGGTTTGCAAATACTTTGTACTATTTTAAAATGGAAAACTAAGACAAGGGAAGCGATTTGCCAATTGTGGAAATTTTTCGTGTACAATCATGGGCAGAGCTGTCTCTATTGACCTTCAGAAAAGGACAGCTTTTCATTAACTGTGAATTATTTTTGTACTAATTCAAAGATCTTAAGCCATGGGCCAGGAAGCAGGCAGGTGACTAGTCATATGCTCATGACCATCATTTGTTTTCCAGCAGCTGAATTATATTCAAAGAAGCTAGCAGTCTGTTACTTGCAACCTTATAACTATGACTGGCATTTTTCCATGGTCACCATAGCTAGCTGTGAGGCATTATGTGGTCAGAAAGAAGAGAAAACCTGGTTCAATTGTGAAGGAAACATGACATTGCCCCAGAGGGTGCTTTAGACTCTCTATGAAGACTGTCTATTAGGCAAATAAAATAAGCATTTTAGAACTGGACATTAGCATTTTCTTTTTAATAGGAAAGCAAAAGGAAACTCTATTTTTAGTCTTGGTTGAATTTCTCTGCTGGTGACTCCACACATGGTGTTACTTCTTAATATATCCAGGAGAAGGTTTCAAAGCCTTCCAGTATATCCTTACTTTTTCTAAGGAGATGCATACACAGAAGTCTGGCTAGTAAACAGGCAAAACCATATGGACAGGTCACGCAGCAACACCAACACTTACTTGAACTGCAGGATCCCACAGCATTTTCAAGACCTGGCTCGCCTATGTGCAGGTCTCATCTGCCCTTGATGTTTGTGACAGTAGGACCCTTCTTGGAAGGTTTCCCAGACCATCTTTACCACCCCAAGCTTGTTGTGCGATGTCTCCTCCAGGACAGATGGGATGCCCAGCGGAAGCTCAGACCTCCCCAGAAGAAACCATGGCTGAATCACACTGCAGCTAAGTACACCTTGACACACGCTCCTAAACATGGAGGCACAACCCAAGGGCATCCTCCTCTGCTTTCTTTTGCCTCCTACCCCTCTCCCCTGCTGTGCCCCTATTTAGTTGTTTGAAGGCCACCCCCAGAGAAGCAATGTGGAGCCGGGACAGTGTGTCATCAAGATAGCTACTGATAGCAGAGTAGACAGAGCTATTTCCAGAATGATTAATACTATTAGCACATGCTGAAGCTTCAGGCTGAACATAAGCTTTAGAGGGATGGATTTTGATGTAAAAAGTGAATAAATGAGACAACTGTCAGAACAATGAGTGATGAACCAAGTAAAGATCAGGAGATGCAAAGCACTGCCTACTGGCCTCTTTTCACTGCAGCTGCTGGTAAAAAATTCCTGTTGCCTTTAAGGCTGGAGAATTAGCCCAGCAATAGCATGTGGCACAGAAGTAACCCAACTAGCAGGCACGAACACTAGTCCCACAATTAGCCATATGGCATTTTAGCAGGGCACAGCAATGGTAATGTCCCAGGATCCAAAGCACTGCTCCCCTCCCAGCCCAAACCATGCACCACTGCTCCTGGAGCATGTTCTGGATATCTTTGTACTGCCCTTTACTGTGCATACCTGGAGTGCCTGCAAGAGTAACAGGCTGAGGGCTTGCCCTGTTGCTGAATAAAAAGCATGTCTTAAAAGAGCCGTCTGATTTACACTATCTTCTCATAATCCCCACTCCAGAGGTCTGAAATGCTATAATTGAAAACCTGCTGTTCATCTTCTGAAAGTGAGGCTTAACCTGCTGTAGGCAGCTCCCAGAAGGACAGTGTTTTGCATAATCAGGTACATTACAGGGAATATGTTTAGCATTTTTCTGGTTTTCTCCTCCTGACACTTCTCTCACAGGAGAGCAAGCAAACAAAATCTAGTCATAGCTGTGCAATATCCTCTTCCCCAATTCCTTTTTTTTAACCCCAATCATCGAGGCTACTTGTTTTCCTAAGAATATCATGTGAAAACCCAGAAATGGGTTTTCATTTCTGTTTTGAAAATGTATTCCTCTCTTTTTTACAGGAGATGTCTTAGCAATAGATGTCTTGAATGGATTCACCAAAATCTGGTGGGTTTTGTGACCTTAGATCCACATCTGCAAAGAAGTCATATGCACAGGGTGTTTCTCTGGAGTAGCTAATTCATCTTGGACTGAGCCATACGATCCCCTTTTCCAGTCTTGCCTTATGGCCTCTGTGGAATGTCACATTGGCTGCAAGGGAATTATTAGGTCTTGGCAAGACATGTTAATACCCTCAAAAAGACTTGTTAGGGACCAAGACTTCAGCCTCCAACTATTTCCTCTGATAAAGCAGAGCATTCACAGCAGTTCATTAGTCTTGAATCACCAGTTTGAGAGAAACTAAAGCTTCTCACAAACCAGAAGGACTCTGCAAGTAAATCTGGCTGGTGTTGCCTGACTGCTAGCTGTCTTTGAAACCAAAGCACAAAGTGTTAAATCCCATTAGAGAAATCAGTGGCTTAGGACACTTCAGTCAAGGGTCGGGAATATGTACACCAAGGTGGAAGATAAATTATGAATTATGGCAACACCTGATGTGCTGGGATTTGAAAGTCCATCAGAACATCTGAAAACTTCAACTCTCATACGTGGGGATGCACATTTGATGTTTTTTCCTGAAGACCATTCATAGACAAAGTTTGTAGCAGCAACAGAACTACATGTTCAGTCCCTTAGAGCTGTTGTTTTGAGTTGTTGGTTGTTTTTTTTAATACTCGGTGTTATCTTTCCATTAGTGTCCAAAATTACACTGATAATCCTGGAAAGCACCAGAGCATGAGTATCATATCTGCAGCTGGATCTTTCTGCTAGGAAGTCAGCTACACAGCATGGAAAGTATTTTTGTTACCTCATTTTGAATCACTGATAACAACATTACAAGTGAAGGGGCTGTATTTTTCATCCATGAGATGGGGAGGAGCTATTCCCACAATCCCAGCACCATCCCAAGCACCCACTCACAAGGCAGAGAGGCAGGATCTGAGTTACGCATTTTGTAAACCAGGAGGAGCTTTCTCAAATGTGGAGGGCACAGCACTGGTGCAAGTGACAGAGGGTGGATCACAAAACAGGTACCTCCATGCCAGCTTCCCCAAGCACTCATATCACTGAGTTGAGCTTCAGAGCACAGCACAGAGGACACACAGTAAAGGAACCTGAGAGCTGGCCCCAGCACCAGCCACCAGAGTACTCAATCTAAGTAAGGGTATCAATCAGATGCTCAGAAACTCCCAGCTGACTCATGGCCCCATTTCTTGGCTGTGTGCTGGCCTCTTTACACCTCTGGTGTTGGAAAAGGAAGTGAAACAGCTGGTTCTCATGTTCTCATTCAACAGCTTTGAAACCCCCCCAAGTTGTAGAAAAATGAAGCAGAGCTGCAAGGTCTGGAGTTGGTTTCCTAACTGAAAGCCAGGCAGGATGCTGGATCCATAGCTGCCGTTTGGTTTGACGGAAGGCCAACTCCAACACCACCATTCTCATCTGCTTTAATGTCAGCTGAACATTTGTGTGCCATTTTCCCACCCAGCAGCACCCAAACCTGTACCAAAGACTAAAGTACCCCCAACTTTCTGTGGAGTGATGGCACAAATTGCAGTTTTGTTCAGTGCCATTTGCTGTCACTCGATCCTTGTTTTTGACACAGGGCTCCAAAGCAGAATCCCAGTTCAGCAGCTACCCTAGGATGTGTCCCATTTCAGCCTCTCTCAGGCTTTGCATATCCATAGTTAGGCGCATGTTTAAATAAATCACTACAGCTATGCTTAAGCCTGGAGAAAAAGTATCCCGGCAGGACAAAAACTGGCTTGGTCAACCATACACAATGAGATGCGTTCAAGCCAGCTAATGGGTAATCCCGTGTCTATGTACCACAAATACACAACATAACTCACTGTCCCACTTGGCAGAAAAGTGTTATTGCCTCTTGGGAAACAAGCATTCCTCATCAAAGACTATTCTTGTAGAATAAAAAATCAAACTAAACTAATGTGTGTGTATATATATATATTTCACATGTTGCATATGCTAATGTCAGTCCATCTGAGGGGGTAGAAACTGATGAGGAAGTTGTAACTACGTGGAAAGAACAGGAATTTTCTGGTGAGCCTCAGTGTGGCAGACAGGCTGTTCTCAGAGGTTGTAAAAGACTTCTGCAGCCTGCTAATTATACACTAGCCAAATCTTATTACAAACAAGTAATAAGTACAGGCACGTTTGTTGGTTTTGCTAATGACATTAATGTCTTTTTTGATGATTTGCAGAGCTACAGGGGGCTACAGACTCAATTTGTACTGATTTATCTCCCACTCTGGTGAAGCTTAGGGAGCTCTGTTGGTGTTTGATAGCTTTTTGCCATCTATCTTTAAACAATCCAAGCTCTGTTTTCTGCACAGTAGTTTGAGCTGCTGCTTCTGCTGAATAACACTTACTTACACACATTCAGACCTCTACTTAGATAGTGGATCTGTGTATTATTTTCTAGTATATAAGTGATGATACGTAGAATTACACACAACTGTTGTTAAAGGGAATTTTTTACTTGTCCATAGCTTCCTTATGTACCTTAGCAAAACAGCTGTGACACTGAAGTCTGCTGTGCAGATTCATTTATCTCTCCCTTGAGGAGTCCCAGGGAGTTCAGATACCCTGGTTAAAACCACTGACTTTGCAGTTTAGGGTAAGTCATCAGCAGGGAAAGAACTGGTTAAAACACTCTGAAGAATTACCAGGATTTGCCAGGCAAAGCAAAGGGTTTTCCTCTCACACACTATCCACATACCTCTGTGACTGATTTGTTTTGAGTTTCCAGTGTCTGTTTGCACAGACCTGATCATCAGTCCCGCTGCCTTTATCCACTTCCTGTCTGAGTACAAACCGAGACAGTCAGCAGCAGCAATCTCATGTCCTTTCGTATGAAACACACTGAACACAGTTTGTCCCGCCAGGGAAATCAATGCTTGAAATATGCAAGTAATCCACTGACTTCATAGGAATATCCCCCGATGGATTTTGAAGCGTGCTCTCGATGGCTGCAGTGACAGAAGGACATTGTGCTGAGCACACGCTTGCACGCTGCCGGCAGATGCCAGCAAGCTCTGCTTAGGCGCTGCTGGCCCATGCTGCTCTTTGGGGCTTTTGACCCGGCCATTCCTAGCATTATGCATCCCTGGGAATACGCTCAGAAAATACAGATGAGGTCATTCCCAAGAGTCTGCTTAGGTATTTGGGGCCCTTGACACTGAGAGGAGCTAAAATCTTGTACTCTATGAGTGGTTTTTAAAGGGAAAGTGGAACTGTTTTTATAGTACATTTGCCATTTGTTAATCTTGCATTGGTAAATTATTAACTCCTCTACAATTTGTTCATCCTTATCATTAGAGATTGTGCTAACATATGTTCTTCTTATTTGCTTCAAAAGAGGCTTTGGGAGTAAGAGTTACCTATGCACAATCCAAACATTATTCGTGAATTAGTAGTATTAACACGTATTAACAAATTTGAGGCTGATTTCATCCCTGTGTGGTCCTTTGAAGTGACCCATCACAAATGAAAAGCAGCAGTTTGCCCAAAAGGCCCTGAATTTGACTTGATGCTCTAAACTTCAAAACTTTTGTCCAGGAAATTGCACCACACGCTCCTCTGCAGGGCCAGAGTTAGAACAACAAGCACAGCATGCAAAGAGGCATCACCACTGAGGGCAAGGGGTGACTCTAGCTTTGTCCTGTGTCCAATTTGTCTTGGGATAATGAAGAAGAAACTGGGAGCTTGCGCTGGAGTCCAGGATAGGTACAGAAGGCCTTGTTCAGAGCTACTGAATCAACACTCGCTTCCCCCAGCTCATGACCTTATGCTCCTGCACTTCCATGTTCCTCTCCCCAGGCAGTTGTACTGGCTTCCCACAAGGTGTGGGTCTGGGAACTGCACACCCCATCAGAAATGGCAATTCAGCTTCAGGTCACAGTTAACACGCTCACAAAGAATCTCTACTTTGTTGTTCAACCCACATAAACCTTTAGTCCCAGTGTAGATGGTGCCAAGCCGCCAAACGTGGGTTTCTTGATGCAAAAGGATGTGCTGTGCTCCAAATGCATCATCAGAATCACAGATTAGAGATGTCTTTTTAAAAATGTGCTCAGAACAAGAGTTTCTGCTTCCAAAAATAACTTGTATTTTACTCATATTAGAAGAGCAGGATGTTCTTTCCTGTCCTGAAGGGATAAGGAGGAAATGAGAACTGTGGGGTTTTTATACGGTATGAGCTACTATTCTTCTGGACTAGTGCTGTGAGTCTTGATTTTTATTTATTTATTTTTCCCCTAGACTTAGCATTTTATTCCCCACAGACCTCATTTTGCGTCCATTCATGCTGATGTTACCCCAGTGAAGCTCTCTTTGATTTCAAAGGCATTACTCCATATTTACAACCTCTCCCATCCTAAGGCATTAGAAGGGAGGCAACGCACTGAAGAGAGCGAATGCTGAATGTCTCAAATCTGTTTTCAAATGAGATAAAGTCAGTCAAGAGATACAAGTGGGGGCAGAAAGCATCCTTTCCTGTCCTCTGTGTTTGAAGGAAAGCGACAGCAGCTTGGAGGAAATGTGAACGTAATGGACTGTACGTTTGTGCCCCATTGTATTGAGGTCTGACAGGAAACACTTGGGGTTTGATTCAGGAAAAAGTAAATAGTATTCCTTTATAATACTCTCATAACCCTGCTTATCCTGCAGTATTTGACTACATCCCTGTCTTTAATGTATATATTCTCACAGCCCTCTCCAGATGACCAGAAGGAAATCTGGCCACCTGGGAGTGGGGGAGGCATGGGAAGAGACTGTGCAGCAATTTCCATCCGACAGCCCTCCTAAGTGACAGCAAAAGGTCAGCAGCTCTGTGCATTTCAAACCAAAGAGACTGGAGCAGCTGCCATTATTGACTGCCACAATGGTGGCTCCTTATGGGAAGAAAGCTGTAACTTTGGGTAACATTGGGTAACATCTGAGCAGCCTTCACCAAGCCCATGAGAGCGCTCTCTCGCCCTAGGATCTTGCTGTGATATATAGATGGTTGTGGCAAGATCTCCCACCACAAGACCCCAGCAGGCACTGGGGAATCCCTTGGCTAGAGGTTCACCCTGCAGCAGCATTGAAAAGGTTCCAGGCCTCAGCATTTAGGAACCTTGTTCCTCATACAGCCATCTGAAGATGAATAGGTCTGTAAGATCAGTGCTGGACCCTGGATATTCCTTTCATTGCTCCTGAGGGATCCTGCCTCCCAGAGCGACCGGGGTCAGGGAGCTGTTACAGTCCTTTGTCCACAGGGAACATGCAGTACCACAAGTGTTTGGCATTTTGTTGTACTGCTAAGGAAGCTGCAAAGACTGCAAAAGAAACTAACACACACACACCCCCCCCCCTCCACTCCATAACCCAGAAGAGACGGGTTGAGGACATAATGCCCTTGATTGAAAAAGGAGGCACCCAGGAAACCTTGTGGCATATATTTCTTTTTAAACTAGAGCTACAGTAATTTGGCATGCATGTCCCCTGAGCTCCTTCCTAAACCACAGCTGCATGAGGAATTATCTAGCTCTTAGCCGAAGTAACTCCTTAAAAATAAAACCAAAATCCACCCTCCATGTAGGTCGTCAAAGTGCTAATAAAAAATGTTGATGAATCTCTGAGCAGTGCTCTGATTATCTCTCTGTGGGGAATGAAGAACTCATTAACATGAGCTCCATGCCACTCCCTCCTCCTTTCTTAGAGTCTGGCATAGAGCAAGGAAACAAATGTTTGTGGTTTGGCCAAGTTTCTAATGAGTGGCTCAGCTCGGGCCAGTGATTAGACACATGGCTTTACAGAGGGTGAAAAGGCTGCAGCACCGTGTAAAGCGGCGAAGTATTTCTGCCAGATTGAGTCCCCAAAACTGAAACACTTTACCTGTTGTGTGGAGTTTTTTTACAATATATTTAGCAGTAAATATACAGAGAGAGGGTTTCATTGACACCGCAGACAGAGAGCAACACTGTGAGGTCCAGAGAGAGTAACAGAGCCGGATGGATGTCTGAGGACCCACTTGCCAAAAATGCAATGTTGGTGTAGCTTCCTATGGGTTTTGTTTCACTCGTTAAGTGTTTGGGGTTTTGTATACACTAAGCTATAGTCTGAACCCCAAAAGAACAGTCCTGGATGTCATCGTGTCCTCCCTGCTCTTCTACTCCACAGAAGGGTGCCTACACAGCAGCCCCTAGGCACCACAGGAGCCCACAGGCAGGCAGCACAGGCAGGGATCTCCATTTGCTGCATCACATGCAGGAGCTGCAGGAGCTGCACAGGCAGAGACCTGCCTAACTAGAACTGTCCCACAGTCCCATTGTCACAGTCACAGGCCAGTGACTCTCCAGGAGCACCTGGCAGTGTTTAAGAAGGAAGGAACAAATCCTCCAGAATTAATGGGAGAAGTTTCTCCCATGCAGGAAAGTTTCTTCTTCATCCCTGTAATCCATTTATAGCCTTATTTATGAGAACTTGTCATCTCCATAATCTTTCCAGGACTAAAGCAAAACTCATCCACATGCCCAGGAGAAGAAAACTCACCCTACAATAAACACAGAAAGTATCTACTAGGCTAAGCAACCTCTGGCTCTGAAATTCAAATCTCAAGGTGTGTGATCAATGTCATGCAGCACCTTAGCACTCAAATCAGCCTACCGAGACATGAAGTCTGTCCCCTGCTGTTGCAGACAATACATCGTATAATGACTTTAATAAACTTCATCTCAAAAGCAGTGAGATTTTTCCATTCCAAATACCTCCCCTGAAAAAAATGAAATTTGATTGCTCTAATGATTAACAACTCTCCTCTAATTTCCAGCTGAAATCTGTGTGTGGCCAGTCCATACCCAATTGCTCATGTGACAGCACGATCTAGCTAAGCAGTTGTCTGGGCCATACAGAGTGCAGAAACTGAAGCAAGTCCCAATCCAACAATTTCATTGCAGTATTACCCTCACTTTCCAAACCACACCTAAAACTTGCTATTTCTTGGCCTTTTAATAAACTTTGTGAAAGTTTATTAAAACATGATACAGATAATAGGAAATAAAAAAGAAGGGATGAACATGCAAGGAACAGTGCTACTGATTCCATGAGTGAATAAATACACAAATGGGAGAAGCCAATTGCTCCTACCTTCATAGCACACTCCACACGTAAGTATATGTTCTTACAGTGCCCAAGGCAGGTTTTAATTTCCTACAACCACCAGATGGTTAGAGGCCTTTATTAAATAACAGATGCCATACCACCTCATCCCATTATTAGTGGCCAGCATTTACAGGTTCCCAAAGTGCTGGTCTGAGCAGGTGGGACCATCTCAGCGCTGGGTATGCATTATATTCTGCATCCTCTCTCTATGCAAACACCCCATGGCTGGATAGTTTGGTGCCTCAAGCACATTTTCCTCCAAGAACCTCTCTAACTTGCAAGGGACATTGCTTGCCTTTCTCTGATGGACTTGAATCTCCTATACTGATGTGATGGCAGCAGCCAGGGGGGCTGGATCCTCTTTGTTGACTCCATCAGAAGAGGGTCCTGGACATGTAGTGCCTTCACCTTGCCTTTGCTCCAGCCCTGCTCATTTCCCCATGATCACAGTCCCCAAGGGGCTATTTAAAAGTGAGCAGTATGCAGAATTAAAAGGTTTTGTCCCCAGACCTCCATAAAGTTGTGTGATTTACACCTGTAAGCAATCCTGCTGATTTCAAAGGGAACTTTTAAGCCTTTCCAGTCTGTTTTAGACAACTTCTTACTTTTAGAGATAATTAAAACCGCAATTAAAGCACAGACATTTCAGCACATAAAGGACAACTATCATCCAGTGCTTCTGGAACTTCAAACGGCTGGCCAGAACCACTCGGAAGTGAGCAAACCAGCCCTGAAACCAAGAAACCGGTAACGTTGGGTGGGGAACCGAGACAGGGATGATTTCAGCTGCGATGCAGAACAATTACAGAAATCCAAGGGGAAAAAAAATGGCTTTTGCCAAAACGAGTTTTGTATTTTGTACAGCTTTTTTTAGCCAGGGCCGCTTTCTCCCTGTGGATGGTGACTTCTTGGCTGCATGAGCCATCTGGATAAGCCTTCTGCTGCCTTTCAGCCTCAATCTCTCTAATTCTTATCTCAAAACAGGTATTATTTTGCGTTTGGGGGGTTGATTTTATTTACTGTTCCCTCATAATACAACCTCATTTTACAGCCCGTCAGCGGCGCACCGGGCATTGCAGAGCCCACCTCCTCACGGCAGACCCTGCTCGCCATGGGGAGCCAAACGGTCCCCGGAGGATGCCTCGCCAGCGCTGCAGGTACAGCCGCGGCTGAGGCGCGGAGGCCGGGCCAACAATGGAGGGCAACCGGGGCGGAGGACACAGCCTGCGGCCGCCGGCCCCCCCTCACCCTCCTCCGGCTTCAAACTTGGCCGAGGGGTGGCGGGGGAAGGGCGGCGGGCTCGTCCCCGCTGGCTGCCAGATAGTGATCCACAGCGGGCGGGCTGGCGCTGTGGGCGGAGCCCAGGTGTCCCTTCCTGCCACATAGTGCACCGCCCCTTTCCCCGCCCGCCCGCTCTCCGCGGTGGTGCTGGGGCTCCCGCCGCTGGCGGGGAGGGATGGACTGAAGCACAAAGGCGCGGGCCCGCAGAGGTAACGCTCCGGCGGTACGCGGAGGGGAAGAGCGGGGGGGGACCCTGCCCGCTCGGCGGGGCTGCGGCCGAGCCGCTGCCGGGGAAGCCGGCGGGAGGCCTGGCTCGCTTCCCCTGGTTCCCTTCGCCGCCTCACGGCTGCGGGGCGAGCGCGGGGCCGCGGCTGAGGGGGGGGCTGCGGTCGGGAGCACTTCTCTTCGGGTGTAGGGCAGCTCTCCGGCCGCGGGAGATGCTGCAGTGCTGTCGTTCTGCCTCGGCGCCGAGCTGGGAAGGATGGAGCTTTAAATAATGCGCCTCTCTGCTCCGAGACTGCTAATCGAGGAAAGCTTGGGGAGTCGTTATTACAGCCGCGGGCTGCCCTTGCTCCACCGCAAAGCTCCGCGCCCCCTACGAGGCTCGGGAAACTTGTTAAAATTTGCGTTCTTTATGGGTTTTGTTTCACGTATTTGATCGCGCACGGCTCCGCATTCGTTGCCGATAGTAGTGCGGGAGCCCGGGAAGGCGATTCCCAAGCGCCCGTATTCTGGTCACGGCGCTCGCCGCGCTCAGGGCCGCGGTGGCCTGGAGCAGTTCGGGATTACCGTCCTTGTGCGCTTGTATCAACCGGGGCGAAACTCACGCAGTTGCTGCGTGAACTTTAGGCTCCAGAAATGAGGATAGCCATGGGCCTTTTGGGAGTTTGTTCCTCGTTTTCTGTTTCACCCCAAGGCAGTTTCCACCTCGCGTTAGAAAGCTTATTTAGGAATTCAGAGCGCATTTATCAACCGGTGTTCATCCCGGACTACAGGGCAGGCATACACTGCATGGCCAAATGATGTGATTTTTAGCAGGGAAGCCTCGGACTGGCTGTATAAGCAGGGCAGAGCATGCCTCAAAAGCAGCACTACTGCAGCCGGTCGTGGAGGTGGGTTGCTTCTGCTTCTGTCTTCCCAGCATCATTACATTACAGGCAGGTTGAGGCTGAATCTGCTGGTTTTCATCCACAGGTCCTGGAATCATGTCTGGAGGGTAGTGATGTGATACCAAGCAGAGGAAAACTGTGTAGGAATCTGTGTGGTGCCACTATGTGGAGGAGTTAAGTTTTAAAACAGGTAGATAAAATCATTGGCAGTGAATATCTGGGAAAAAAAATAGTTGGCCAAGGGTTATAAAAGCATGAACGTATGAAACTGCTGAATTATTAGTAGTGTGGGAGAAGCTGGTTTAAGTCAACTTTGGTACCAGAGGAATGAAGCTGATAAGTGTGACCTCAGCCTTTAAAAAAGGGCTTTGGCACACCTAGGGCAGCTTCAGGCTGTCTCACCTTGCTCCTGGTCCAGTTGCTGATGACTGGAATACAGCCCAGGTGTAGCAGACTATGGCTGTGGGTGATCTGCTGGGAAAAGGCGGTGGTGGAGCAGCGCAAGCTGGGGCAGATCAGCGCGTGGCTGCCTTGGCAGCAGGTCTGCTCTGAAAGGTTCCTTCCTTCACCTCCCTGCCAGGGTTTGCCAGCAGGTCTCTGGTGCCAGGTTGTTCTCTGGTCTGCACACCCTGTCACATCAGTGGCCTGGCTGGAAATGGTGTGTGAACTCGCTCCAGCCTCCTTGGTGGCATCCAGTACTTAGAGGGAAAGAAGGCTCCTTGGCTGTTATGATAAGCTCCTCAATGCTACCTTGAGTAAGGAGTGCATGCGCTCCTCCATGAAACAAAATTATAATTGTGTGATTAATAGCGTGTACCAGTTTTAACTTCAGGAATTGTCGTGTTAACACCTTTAGTGATACATTTGTTTTCAGAAGACATTATTACATGTGTTTAGTTTTTGCTGGGAGATTGTGAAGCCCTGAGCATGGAGGAAGGGGTGGGCTATGTAGGAGCTGAGTGTGTAATGATGGAGGTTAGTAAATGATGATGATGATAAAGCACGTCCTTAATTCTTGACCAATAGATGGAGTGCTGCTACGCTTCAGGATATCTGGGGATTGAATGGTCTCTTGGTTAAATCAGTCATTATCTTTGACTCTTGCCTGAGGATTGAGGCAGATGACTTTTTTATTTAAGGAAATGATGATTTTAGGGTGGTGCCGTTAGGCTGTCATGATCAACCTAAAGAGGAGGTCCAGATGGTGCCATGCACACCAGAGACTTTGCATTGCTGGTAGGGTGAGTGGATTTGAGCAATGTGGGTGGTTGGGGTTGTCTCACTGTGGGTCTCAGAGGTGTACTGCAGCTCTTTAGTCCACCCTTTACTGGATATGAAATGAGCATTGGGTGTTCGACAAGGCTGGATGAACCCAGCTGGATTCAGTGGGACTGCGCTGGAACTGTCCCTGTTGCATGTGATGTTAGAGGTGACATTGCATGTGGGGCTGCCTGCCTTTGTTTGGCTTGACTTGCTACAGGCCATATGACCTGGTGTAAGACACTATTTGTGTGAAAATGATCAGAAATTAACATGTAAGAGACAAAGCATGAAGACTATTTTAAGATGGGCCAATGTTTGTTTCCTTTCATAAGTGTTTTACAGATCAAAAACTGCAATGAAAGAAGGCAGAAGGCTGCTAGATTTTCCCTTGTCAAAATCGTTGTTGCTAGTTAAAACTGCAACAGACATCCTTGCCACACTCTGGGTGGTGTCGGAATGATAATCGTTTAAAAAAAACAAGTTTAATTCCAGAGAATAACTTGTGTGACTTTGAGCTGGTGAATAAAATTGCCTATGCTAGGTTTTAAACTGGATAAAAATTGTTGGTTCTTTAAAAAATGTCCTGTAACCTTAGCAGCCATCGCAACCTCTGGCTGTTATTTCCCTTGTAAATCAATTTTGCATTTTCATAGTGCTGCTGTTTCAAAAACTGAGTCTGTCATTGTTTTGGTATTGATTTAGAGAAATACAATCTATATTCTTTAATAACATTGCTTCCCATTACATCACAGGCTTTTCTTCAAGCTATGTTTTGCAATGCTGATTGCTGCATGAGGGATGTGGACGATGGTGATGTGGCTTTTGGTTGGGTTCTTGGGGGGTAGTTGCCTTTTGTGTAGCACTTTTTGGCAGCTGAAGATGGATAAAAGCTCCTTGACCCCCAGGGAACAAGCAGTAATGTACTCATTGTGTTAGACTCTGTGGCAAACAGATCTACTCTGCTTCCTATATTGAGTCACTTGGTATATGAGGAAACACTTGTATTTCTTTTTTGTATTCAAGATAATGCAAATTATTGTATGTCATAGCAAATGAGAGGAGGTGGTACTTTTAAAGCTATCCTCTCAAGTACAGGAGTGGTTTGTGGATAATTTGTGGTATGGTTTATTAATTAAGACAAATTTAAATAAATTTGGTTACATAAGAAAGTGTCTTTACCTATGGCATGTTCTTAATCTAGGCTGAGGGGGAGGTCACTTCAAAATCAGCAGTAAACTGGAAAATGTTTGGTACTAAAAGGTTGAGATTTTATTCAGATTCATTGAAAAGTTAGTGAAAGAAGGCCTGAGATCTTCAAAGCTCAGGTTGTATTTTTCCCCCACTGGATCTTCACAGTTTAGTAAGTGTGACGTAGGTGTCAATTTAGTAAGGGCTGTGGGAGCATATTAAGTGTAGTATGTGTCTTATGGTAGCAGTGTCAGTTCTGCTTGACAAGCATGCAGTCAGCAGTTACAACGTGCTAATTAGGGAAATGTTATAATAGCCTCATTTATTGTTCCTGTCTCTTAAACTGTTCTGGTCTTGGCTAGGAAGAAACTCTTTTCTTGCCTTGTATTGTTTAAGGTATTGAAATCCTGGTGACATCAAAGCAGCAGGTATTTTTCATGTGAGTTATCAAGTTGAGGTGAAGATCAGTAAATCACAAGCTGGTATGAGAGTTCCAGCTTGCTTTGTAGATTTTAATGGTGTTTTCTTGACCCACAGCAGCTGATGCCTGGTGAATCGCTTCTCCCTTGTACAGCAGAACCATGTACAGCTGAAGTACATGGCAATCTTGAATGCTACAGAGTTGATGGCAGCTTACTGCTGCTCTCATTTGTCACTGTGCTGCCCTGAACAAGTACCTAGCACAGTATTGGCATTAATATTAGCTGGCGCTTCAGCCAAGAGCTGAACTGGCTGCTCTGTTGGCCAAAGAAAGACAATTCTGTGAATTGCTTTGAATCCTTGCTTGCTGTCTTCATCTATACCTGTAATAGTCACCTAGACCTGTAATTGGCTTCAAGATTTATTTTTTATTGTCTCAAAGAGCTATTACACTAAATAAAACATAGTTATGAGGCCAGTTGGATCTGCATCTTATGTTTGCAGATGCACAGTTCTGGAAGCAGGGTGCTTATCACCCAACCAAGTGTTCCTGTGCATGTCCTGCACAGACACAGAGTGCAAAACAGAAAAGCTTGCTTGTTGGATCAGGTTTGCTTTACTTGTTCTAATACAGTAAAAACAAGAAAGGAAAAATGTAATTTGAAATGCATATTCCTGCCCCGGCAAATGTGAACTAGCATTTTCTTGAATAAATGCTTTTTTGATAGGTCTAGATGTCTTGACAGAATGCTGTGGAAGTGATTTTGTCTTTGTGATTCAAATAAATCTAGATCGATAAAAATTATTAGCTGGCTGGGTTCAGGGGAATTGCTGATAGGAACGCAAGTTGTTTCATGGAATCCAGTATCCCAGTACTTCTGTAGCAATCTGTATGACATTTTAGACTTAATGGATTTATACACAAAAAACTTTAAAGAGCGTTAGTAAGGCCACAAATTCAAGTATTTGAAAGCTGGGGAGTGCTTTCCAAAGAAAATATCCTCAACTTAAAATGAAAATTAAATTGTAACTTAGGAAAGCATACTTATGAGCCCTTTTGTCAGGAAGAGCAGAACTGTTCTGGCTCAGACACTTCAGATCTGTCAGACACTTAGCAGAGGCAACCTTCAGCCTAACATATGAAAAATTAGGTGAAAATAGGATTTGGGGACAGAAACAGTGGACAATACGAGACAGTGCATCCAGCTCTGGCTAGAATTGAATACAAT